CAAGCCCCCCCGAAAAACACGCGCAAGGCGCAACGGACGCTACGATATTCTTTTGAAGAGCCTGCTGTTGAAGAAAACAAAAACACATGCAACGCATGCCCTAGCAACTGCAGCAGCAGCAAGGGCGAAAACCTATTCCCGTTTTCCCTACCCCGAACAGACAAGCCCCCCCGAAAAACACGCGCAAGGCGCAACGGACGCCACGATATATTTTTGAAGAGCCTGCTGTTGAAAGAAAAAAAACACATGCAACGCATGCCCTAGCAACTGCAGCAAGAGCAACCCAACCAGCTAGCTAGTTACCCCTTCGCCTTCGCCAGGTCTACCTGGAGTTGCATCATCCTGATTTGGTGATCACGATCTGCCTTTTGCTCTGTCCGTGCAGCCGCCTTCTCAACTCCACGCTCTTGTCTGTCGTGTTTCCTTTCATCTTCCCGCGTTGCCCTCTCGTGGGCCATCATGTCCAGGAGCTCTTGCCTCCTCCCTACTTCTCGTTTAGCTTCCGCCGCCGGCNCTGGAGTTGCATCATCCTGATTTGGTGATCACGATCTGCCTTTTGCTCTGTCCGTGCAGCCGCCTTCTCAACTCCACGCTCTTGTCTGTCGTGTTTCCTTTCATCTTCCCGCATTGCCCTCTCGTGGGCCATCATGTCCAGGAGCTCTTGCCTCCTCCCTACTTCTCGTTTAGCTTCCGCCGCCCGCCTCCTCTCGTCCTCTTCACGTTTCTGATCGGCGAGTGCCCGAGCGTCAGCCACCTGTCGCTCCATGAAGCTGGGACACGTGGCACAACGGCGCAAGAGAGGCACCAGGGTAGGGTAAGCTCTGGCACCTCCCTGATGGAGTAGCCAACAATAATGCTGCGATGACACTTCTCTGGTACAGGTTACGTCCACCAAAATAATCTAACAATAATGCACAGCGTCTACCACACGAAGGAGTTGCCAGAACCAAGACATGGGCAGAGTCGACGAACAGTCTTGCCTATCTAGCCCATCCTCGGCGAGCTTATTGGTCTTGGCAGGGGGCTTCGTTCCACGGTTTCCCGAAGACCCACTCGCCGCCCCTGAAGGGTCCATGCCTGACATGGCGCGCGCACCCCCCACTGTTGCAGAACCGGGGATGGATGTCTGACCGGCGGCGGACAGCCCGGAGTTCGTCACGCCGGCGCCAAGCACCAACAACCTCACCACCCGCTTCATAACCTGAAGCACCTTGTCCGGCGTAACACGTTCTATGGGCCATCCGCTGTGAAATCAATTCGATTCCGGCAGGCTGCGGAAGTCCATCATTTCCACGCCGTAGAGCTCGAGCAGCATGACCGACTCGTCAACCTATCAAACCCGGGCAGCTGCATATCCTCTTCACCAAGATCATCCATGTAGTCCTGGACGCTGTCTCCGTCGCGCTGGAGACTAAGCCTTTTGTCGAGTAGTACCGTCATCATGGCCACGGCCCTTTCCGGCTGAACTTCGTCGGCCGTGAAGCCCGTGTTGAGGAAGTAGTCTGCCTCCTCCGTGGTGACCCCGGCACTTTGCACAAGCGTCGGAATGCTCAGCGACCCCATGTGCTTCACCAATTCGCCAAGCGGTGGAACCTTCCTCGATGGCTCGCTCCCCGCGGGCGATAAGTCATCGTCTAGCCCGCCCGTACTCATGGTCGGGCTCGATCGACCGCTGGCAGCGCCACCCGCCAAAGCCTCCGACGCGGGCCTCGCCCCCCCGATGCTGCTGGCCGGACTCGCCCGACGCACGGCCACCGGCCGCTGCACCGGAGCGGGAACCCAACGCGATGTTGTCGGCAGCAACAGCTTCTTCGAATGATGTCGCCTTCGCGCCCGGCCCGCATCGGGCGTTGCCCTGGTTGATGGCCCACATCCCCATCGCGGATGCGAGGCCGCCTCGTCGGCTTTCTTGTGCTCGGTCTCCTCCAAGTCCTGCCTCGCGGCAGCCTTCGCGTCCACTATCGCGGTCAGAACTTTGTCCTGTGCGGCACATCGCGGACAAGAAGCAACAGCGGCGCGGCAGCTCGTCAGCTCTACGACTTACGAATTGCATCACTAGCGTCGGCGAT